CCACATCTGACAGAGGGTTGATCTCCAAAATTTACAAAGAACTCAAGAAGCAAGTCTCCAAAACAGCAAAGGACCCAATTAAAAAGTGGGCTGCAGAACTAAATAGAGAGTTTTCAATAGAGGAGTCTAAAATGGCTGAGAGGCACTTGAGAAAGTGCTCAACATCCTTAGCCATCCGGGAAATGCAAATCAAAACAACTCTGAGATACCATCTCACTCCTGTCAGAATGGCTAAAATCAAAAACACCAATGACAATTTATGCTGGAGAGGATGTGGTGAAAGGGGGACACTCCTCCATTGCTGGTGGGAGTGCCAACTGGTTCAGCCACTTTGGAAAGCAGTATGGAGATTCCTCAGAAAAATGGAAATCAGTCTACCACAAGACCCAGCAACTCCACTCTTAGGCATATACCCAAAAGATGCCCATTCATACAACAAAGATGTCTGTTCCACTATGTTCATAGCAGCTTTATTTGTAATAGCCAGAACTTGGAAGCAACCTAGATGTCCCTCACCCGAAGAGTGGATAGAGAAAATGTGGTACATCTACACAATGGAGTACTATTCAGCAGAAAAAAATAATGGAATCATGAAATTCGCAGGCAAATGGATGACACTAGAAGAAACCATCCTGAGTGAGGTAACCCAGTCACAAAAAGAGAAACATGGCATGTACTCTCTCATATATGGATTTTAGACATAGATCTGGGGAGTGCCAGCCTACAATCCTATGGCCAGACAGTCTGGGAAACAGAAACTACACTTAGTGGCTGGTTAAGTACTGAGCTGAACTCAAGAAAGCCAGTATCAGAGAGGGAGGACTGATGATCAAAGGGATTAAGACTGGGCTGGTTTAACCCCCAGAAACAGCTGACCAGACAAAGGTTAACTCTTGAATCCCAGGCATCAACCTGGGAATCCAGCATGGGACTGATCAAGACCCCCTGAATCTGGGTGTCAGTGAGGAGGCCTAGGTAATCTATTGAGCCTTGGGCAGCAGATCAGTACCCATACCAAGTATACACACGGACTTTGGACTCCCATAGAACAATGTGAGGTGCACTCTCACCCTGAACTCTTGGGGAAGGGTCTAGGCCCTGCCCTATATGAAATGACAGACTATGGACACCCCCATGGAGGGCCTCACCCTCCCTGGGGGAACGAGGGGATAACGGGGGGGATGGGGGGAGGGCATGGGAGGAGGGGAGGGAAAGGGAGAGGGACCTGGAACTGACTTGTGAAGCAACCTTGTTTCTTATCTAAATTTTAAAAAAACCAAAAAAAATAAATAAATAAATAAATACATAAATAAATAAGCTCTTTGCTGGATAATAAGATAAAATTTAAGCAAGTACTACATGATAATACATATCAAAATCAAGGTGATTCAGAAAGTTGAAATTTAAAAACAGGTAATGATGCACCACAAAGAGTTTTTAAAAGAACCAAAAGGATTGAAGACTCGGCAGAACAGGCAGTTTATAATAAAAAAATATTAAACTCCGACAAAAGTTTGTACATTAAGCAACACATTATCCACATCCACAATGTAAATTGATAAAGGCAGAGCAATCACCACACTAACAGGAAAATGTAATTCTTCTATTTCAGCCCATAATGGATCAAGTAGCCAAAAACAAATTACTAAATAAAAAGGCAAAGAGAGAAAATATGAATACAGTGACTGTGTGTCTAAGCATCATTTATCAAATTTGGAACTCAGAAAGCAAAAGCATCATTTCAAATATTTGTGAATGAAAACCAAAACTAGCTGTTTGAGTGTAAATTATGGAACGTAGAAAAATAAAAGTGTATAGGATCCATCAAGCCACAAAACACACAGAATAATCTTGAATACATATTTCTTTGTAAAGGCACTAATCCAGAAACTCTATTATGTAGCTCCAAACTGTGTGGCATTTTGGAAAAAGGCAAAGCTATAGAGAGAGAAGAACCCTGAATGATCACCAGTGGCTGGTCGTAAATGGAGATGTGGAGTCCAGGAATACTGCTGAAGACTCTACGCAACACAGAACAGCTTCTCAGAAATAATAACTCCCCTGTTCAAGTCATGATAATGTTAAGGTTGATGAAGTCTGCCACACAGCAGCCACAGCAGTCACAACACATACGATAGATGAAAGACAATGGGTAGACTGGAATCTGGCTGTGACAAATATTTAATCAAAATACGAATAACAACAACAACAAAAAGAGCAAAGGAACCAAAAAGAAAAAGGGGAAATTGGGAGCAAGTAACAAGTAGCTAATCATATCAAAAAATCACAAAAACGTGAAAAGAGCAACCATTCCAATTGAAGCAAATATGACCCCAATGAATTAACTGTGTGACCTATGGGATTGCTACAACGATATCAGATATAACCTGATCTTTAAGACATTGGGCATTGCCAAGGATAAAGAGGAACACTGAGAAGCTGGAGAGGTAGCTCAGCATTTAAGAGCTCTTACCCCTCTCGGAGAGGATCCAGGTTCAGTTCCCAGCACAACATCAGTTGGCTCACTACATTTTGTAACTCTAGTTCCAAGGGATCTGATGCCCTCTTCTGGCCCCCTGAGGCACATAAACTCATTCCTTAAAAACAAAAATCTCTTATTTAAAAACACAATTATTTTTTAAAGTATAAATTAAAAAACAAATACAGACACACAAATTTAATTATTTTTAAGAAAATATTTTTATAATTGCATTTAAGAAACTATTCCACCTAATAATGTCAAGATTTCCCATGTTAATGCTATCAAACATCCAAGATGGAGGCTAAATCATTCCTAGACAAAATTCTTCTAGAAAAGAAAAAATATAATATCTCTCAACTTAATGTATGAGGACAGCACAATGCATATATTAAATGCTGACAACACCAAAATAACAATGACAAACTAATTTACCTCACACATGTCGGCACCAAGTTCAATAGAATAATTAAAACTGCACTGTGATTTGGTGCAGGTAATGAAATAAAAATTGTGGAAATACCCATAGATGTATGAGGAAGGTAATATATGATGCAGGTGCATTTCAAGCCAGCAGGGAAAGGTAGAATATTGAACAAACGATACAGGGAATTTTAGCTGGTTGACTATCATTGCCCTACTCAAGCAAATTACAGATGAAATAGCAACTTGTCATATTTAAAAATTAAATCATGAACTAAAAGCATGGAAATGTGTATTATAATTCTGTCATAGATAATGCCTTCCTCGAAAAGACAAATTTCAAAACCCCGAAAGTGGGGTACCTCTGACACTTAAGAAGCAAGGGCCATAAAATAACAACATAAAGCTGTAAGTGTGGTGACACAGCAGGACAAAAAGTATGCAACATGCACAGCAGAAAAGAAATGCTAGTCTCTGACATATAAGCATCCTAACAAATCAAAAAGGACAGATACTTGCTCTGGTCAAAAAAAGGGCATTTTATTAAAAAAAAATTTACTCCCTTCCCATTCCTGTAATGTAAATTAAGCAAAAAAATATTTTCTTTAGTCTAGCAGACTGGTGAAGTAAGAAAGTTTCACTACACGCAATGTTAGTGAGATTAGGTACCAAATTTCGTCAACATGTACACCTCATCTGGTGGACATTTGGCTATCTCTGTGAGTCAAGATTCACATGACTTTAACCTGATAAATTCCACTCCCGGAATTCTAGGTTACAGACATATTTGTACATTGATGCAAAGTCCCACAGGCAAGAATATTTACAGGAGCACTGTTGGCAGTAGCAAAGACAAAGGTGACTAGGCTGTCCATCAGCTGTCGGTGAGAAGCTAGCTAAGTACATTTAAACAGTAACACTCTGAAGTCGTAGAGGCTGGAACTGATCTGTGGATGTGTCAATTTTAAAGGTGTTTGCACAGAGACTGTTGCTTTATATCTGCTGACAATTTCTTCAAAAGTAACCAATAAATTGCTGGTGTGTGCGTAAATAATGTTAGATAGAGGGTCTAGAGGAATAGAAAACAGAGGTCTTAAAAATAAATATTTTGTGACATTTAAAGATATTTTAATCTGTATATATTGTTGAAAAACCTACTTGTTCTAAAAATAATAAATTAAATGAATTAGCTGCTTCTTGTATCCATGAAAAGACCAGATGAAATACAGCTCGTTGATATGGCAAGCTTTGGTAAGGAAAACCACATGCTTGTTCAAGGTGTTTGAGTACTCAGACCTGAGAATGTGCCAAGTCCAATGCCATGGGTGCTTAATGGACAATAACAACAAAAGAAAGGTATCTACCTTCTGCAAACTATCTGCCTCTGCAAGCTCACAGATCTATGAGAAGAGCTCACCCTCTTCTGCCTTTGATGAAGATGGTCACCCCATGGCTAATACAGAAAAGGACATAGAATGCATGTCTCTCCAAGACTAACAGAGCTGCTTACCAGGTCAACACTCCTCCTCTCCAGACCTCAGCCAGTCCCTTGTTAATGGCTGGAGACTGTTGAGCTCCAGGAAGAAATTTGAAAAAATTACAGAGCAACTGACTATGATGATGTCTGTCCATCTTGTTTTACAAACCAACTTAAATCACCAGCCATATTGCATGCTTCCAATCCTGCCTTACTCTTTGGGGGCAATGCTGTTCCTCCAGCTTAGAATTCTCTTCTGTTTGCCTAGATAACTCCTATCCAACAACAAATACTAGCTCAAGTGCTTCTCCATGGAAACCTTCTCTAATTGATTGCTATATGAATTGAGTGGGAACTTCTCTGTATTCTCATAGCTCTCCCTACCTAAATACATTTAGCTATTTACTTAGGTCCTCATTCTAAATTACCAATTTGCTTAATATCACAGCTCTGGTGCTTAACATAGATTAGAAGCTAACTTGATACTTTCATGAGCTTAATGGTAAGACTTCTCTTCTCTGTTTTTTCCAGCTTACGTTATTTAATTGACCGTATTATTGATTTCCTTGCGTATGTCTGCCTTGTTTCATAGCTTCTCCAAGTCTAAGTCATCATACTCACTTGTCCAGAGACATCCCTGGGAAGACAAACTTGCCCAGACAGATGCGACAGATGACACTCAAAGGAATCTGCTGCATCTGCACACAGCTAAGCATGATGAAGTCATATTTGCAGATCAACAGTGTTTTGTCGGTGAGCAGCAGGATCTTCTCCTTCTCATTGTTCCAGTGATCGATCCTGTAGTAAAAAACACAGGGCAGGAGAAATGATGACATGGTCTCTCAAATAGAAACAACAACATTCACTAAGACACCAAGCACTGCACAAAAAAGGGAACTGAGAAATACCTACTGCTACCCTTTGTCTGTCAATCTGCCCAAGGTGGAAGAGATGAGGGAAGGACAAAGAAGCCAGGGAAATAAATGTCTTATGACCACAGAGCTTAAGATGGTTCCCCATTACATAAGCCCATTCGAAGAAACCCAAGTCTGCATCATCTTGGCCTCCAACCAATTTGTACTTCACACCCTCCTGGCTCTCCTGGAAACCTTCATGAAGCAGTTCTCCTCCAAGGATACCAGGAATGTCATTGTCCTAACTCAGACTGAACCACAAACTCCTTTCTCTGCCAACTAGCTTACAGTGATATCCAGAAACCATTTGCTGTGTGGAAATGAAAAAGAGACCTGAATGCAAACTACCATGATCTAAGCTTATCACATCGCATCCGTCTGGGGAAAGGGAGGGAAGGAAATACCACTGTGCTTTCTGATTAAGAGGGAATGATCACAGTCTGCATTTCTTGTCTGTATAGCAAGCAGATCCTTCAGGATACAGGACTTTATGTGGTTAGAGAGATGGCTCACCAGAACACTGACTACTCTTCCAGAGAACCAGGGTTTGATTCTCAGCACCCAATGATGGTTCCCAACCATCTGCAGCCACCCTGTCTGGCCTCCATGGGCATCAGACATATACATGCTGACAAAATATGCACATATATAAAAATAAATTAATTTTAAAGAGACTTTATGACTTACTAGAATTTAGTGTCTTTTAGTAAAAGACTGACATTTTTGTTTTGTGACCAGTTCATGTCTGAGTTCTGACCACCTGTTAATCAGTCTAGTGGTTAGTGTTATGGACATCTTTCCCCCAACTATTTCCTGAGCAGTAGCCATGATGCAGTTCTTAAACTGTGAACAGAATGGCATTGCTTCCTTCACCTTACTGAACAGTTTCCTTTATCTTAGAGTCACATCCAAGGCTCCTAAGACAAATTACTCCATCTGTATATGGTCTGGCCTTTTCCCAGAATCATCTTACAGCAAAGAGAATGCTCACTGTCCTAGTCATGGTTCAAATCCATGGGTTTCCTAAGCTACTTTGTAAGCCTGTCACCTTATTAGGTTGTCTAGAAGCAGCTTTACCCTTTATCTTCTTGCATGCATCTACACAATTTATTCTTAATTTTAAATTTACTAAAAACATATTGCAAATTGGTTTTATTTTATTACATAATTATAATTACATGTATTTTTATTATAATTGCATAGATATATTTGACAGTGAAAGTACAAATCCAATGATTCCACAGATTCCATTCTAAATGGCAACTTCAACTGTGTGGAAGTTCATCAAGTTGTATAGTCTTTGAGTCTGGCTAATTCCATTGTCTGATTTCTTTAATCTACTTAATTTCAAGGAAAGAATAAAGTACAAAGTGTTTATCAATAGGTTCCATAAGGACACTGGCCTCACAGAATAAATACTGCCTACGGAAGGTGTCATGGTTCAACTAAGTATGGGTCATCAACCCTGTTGGTACAAAAAAAGTACGTGTTTATGAAATAAAAACATTTGTGTCTGAGCAAATAAATGGATGTCAATGATGATTTGGGGTCCTTTGGAGGAAATGTCTATGTGATTGGAAAGATAAATTTCTATCATTTAGTAATCCTGTAGATTAGAGTTACAACTTTGGCTTAAGTAACTTGTCTTTGAAATGGACATAATATTTACCTCATTATTCCAGGGGAAGTGTATAGGAAATGTTTACACTGGAGTTTTAAACTTCTCAGTGATGAGTACTGATGTGGACTAGGTCACTAAGGGGCTTTAGGTAACTGGATGTCTATGCCACCTTCTTGGTGGTATAAAGATGGATAAGAGAAAATGAAGTCACCCCCATGAGAGGAGGAACTAGAGAAGCATGAAAGAGGAAACCCAGAAGGATTGAGCATAGAAGCTGAATATTGACCGGGACCCCAGTGCACAATGGCCACTGTGCACTCCATGTATTAGTGGCCCATCTGCCCACAACACCCAAAGTCATTCTGCTCCAAAGTTAAGTCACAGTTACAGTATGGTGGGAACAGCCCAGAACCCAAGCGGTCCTACTGGAGTCCAGGTTCTGGGGTTCCCATGCACTCTAAACAGCAACGTTCAACTCCTTCTCTCCTGTGGGTTAGTTCTTGAGAGTTGGCCTGACACGTTCCGTCTTAGGAAGAGGGAAAGGCTGAGGTGTCTTATCACCTATCTACACACACTTCTCTAAATAGACCTCATCTACTTTGCAGTGTCTCATACATGGCTGCCCAGTAAACCAGACTTGTTTTAAGTCTGAGAAAAAAAAGGAGGGGGAGAACCTGCAGCTTTCAGTTGAATGGTTTTACTGAAAATGTCAACACTCCATAATGAGATTTATTTTAAAGGTAAAGGATTCCGGGGGAAAACGAGGATTCTTTTTAGGAACATAGAGTGCTCTGCTCTGACACAAACTCTGAATAATTTACATGTCAGGATGTCTGAATTCAAGCAAACACCCGGGCCTATAAATAGCTCCAGCCACCATCTCCAGCATCTAGGTGGTGGTGTTTCTTTGAAGTTCAGTCATATCTTCATTTCTTCAAGAACTCGTGCAAACATTAAATCACATAATCCTGAGACGAATGCCCTTGAAGTTTAGAAGGCAATAATAACAAACACAAGAAATAACAGCCACACAGAACTACTGTAGCTCAGGGAGATTACTGAGGCCCGAGACATCAATGCTCTCCTTTATTTCCCACAATAACTCCTTAGACTGAATGCAATCACGCCTGATTTAAAGATTCATAAACTGGGTATGTTACACATAACAGGGTCCTATATACAAGAGCCTGAAACAAATATTGAGACATCCAATCTAGGCATAGTTTTGGCTCTCTCCCTAGTGAAACCCCCAAACAAAGGACCCTTAGTGCATATGTAAATGCGGTCAAATACCTCTGTGAGGCACACTTGTGACCCTACATGCCACGGCAGCAGTTGCTCTCTATAGCAAACTTTCCCAAACACACATGATTCCCAGCCTGACCTGCTTGTAGCACACCTTACTTTGGGAGAGAACTTTCTATCCATTTCTGCATGGCAACTACTAAGCATCTCATTACAAAATGTCTCTAAACCACCCAATTCTCTCCACCTCCGCCATCATCAGTAGTCTGTTGCCCAGGATCCTCAGCTGGGGTGGTCACCGAGGCCTGCTTTACCTACACCTGCTCTTCCTGCCCATTCTGCACCCTGCTTCACCGGGGGCAGGTTCTGTCCTGGGCCTTGCCTTTGGTTTGTTTGTCCATTTGCCCTTTGTGCAATTTTTGCTTGGCTGGTTTGATTTGCTTTGTTAGGTAAGAAAATCAATCCATTCCTTACTCACTCTGTCTTAAAAAGCTTTAGTAGTTCCTTCCCCAAGTTCTTATAACAAATTACAAGAGAAACTAGGAAGTTTGGGGGTGTCTATTGCTCGTCCCTTTGCAGGCAATGTTTTCTAGGTCCTACTAGCTAGTGCCATTGAACCTGAGCTCCATCTCTGCACACCACAACACAACCTGCCCTCTGTGACCACTTCTACTCCTTCTAATTGTGCCCTGACACAGTACTCCTACTTCCTTTATCCCAGATGAAACAGCATTGTTACTTTTATGATTATGTAATTTATGTCTCACTCATCTAGTTCTGTACGCTCGTACTACTCATGCTGTCTGGGGAGTCTAATCATAATTTTCAACAAATTGAAATATTCATCTACCCATAAACTAGAATGTTTAAAACAAAATCAGCATGTTTTGGGGGATGCTCATGCCATAATAATGAGAAAGAATAAAATGTAAAAGCAAAGTGCTGCATACATCAAAACCTTAACATTGATTATCATTCTGGATTGGTGAAAGTTCAAATGATTTTTCTTTTTGTGTGTGCTTTTAGTTACTGGAACTCAATTGGTTCATATATGTTTAGTATGCAAACATATATATATATATGTATTTACACAGGTAAACATATATGCATATGCACAGGTATATACAGAGAATATGCATGTATGTGTGACATGAGCAGATATATAGAAAGAGATATAGAGATATAGATAGTGCATATATAAATGCACATACATATATGTATATATGTGTGCATATGAACATATAAAGATAGATAGATAGATAGATAGATAGATAGATAGATAGATAGATAGATAGATGATATAGACAGACAGACAATGCATGTATATGACGCATGGACACATGCACATGTATGCACTTGCATGTGGAGATCAGAGGTCAAAGTCAGGGGTCCCCCAATCCTCCAACTTCCTGAGACAGAGACTCTCACTGAAACTGTTGCTCTCAGATTGGCTAGACTGACTAGCCACATATACCTCAGGGTTCTTCTGTCTCTCCCTCCCCAGTGCTGAGAATACAGGTATTTGTCACCATGTTCAGTTTTTACATGGGTTCTGAGGATATAGACTTGGGTCTTCATGCGTGCGTAATGAACATTCTAATGGCAGTTGTTTCCCTAGTCACAAAAATGATTTCTTTTAAAATTATAAAATATTTTCATTTTTATGATTGGTAAGGCTGATAAACAGTTTTTAAAAGATATTTCTTAGCCATTTGTACTTCCTTTGAGAGCTTTCTGTGCAGATGTATGACCCATTTTTAATTGGGCTGTTTGTCACTTGGATTTTTAAGGGTTGTGTGTGTTCTGGCACACACTCTATAGGAGTATGGCTGACAAAGTCTCTCCCAACTCTGTGAACCTCTTCTTCATGGAACTCATGGCTTCCTTTACAGGGTAGAGACTTTTGTTTTCGGATTCCCCATTTGTGAATTTGGGGAACTAATTGCTGAGCACGCAAGGTCCTAGTTAGAGAGTTCCTCTCACCCCAGTCAGAGTGGCTAAGACTAGGAAAAGAAAGC